CCTCAAATGGACACACAGGGTTCACAAAAAGAGGTTGTCTGCGTACAAACAGCTGATCCTCCTTGCCCTTTAAAGGAAAGAATGATGGATTTTAAAAGATACTTATTACAAGTGGATCATGAACTTGACTCCTTCAAGAAAAAAAAAAAACGCAATAGAGGAAGTTATAGGACTTTAAGTGTGTGTAGCTCTGCTCTGTGTGTAGAACAAGCAGAAAGCATGGTTAGGTTACTTTTTGTTAGCCTACTACTTGTATTATCTCATTTCTGTTTTCTTGGCAAAGCAATGTACATAACTATAAAATTCACTGAATTAATCAGACTTTCTTAAAAAAACAAGTGGTTCCTTTCTTTCACCAGTAATATTTATTTCATTTCCAGGGCTGTTGTTTYTCCCTTTTCTGGTTTTATGTGTGGTCTGTTTCTTGAAGTAACAGCTCATTTTTCTTAAGTAATGAAACAGGTTCTGAAACACTGACATTTGAAACTATCTCTAGAACACACGTTCAAGGCATCTGTCCTAAACTTTCAATACTTTAGACAGTAATTTATAAAGTACCATCAGTCTGGCATTTGAAATCATCACAATATTGTTATTTTATCTTGCAAATTCTRTGCTTCATAGCTGTCATTCAGTGAAGAATACCCTGAATTTCATATAAAACTAATCTTTCTGTCATTCCTTGTTCATTGTCACATTGCAAACGTGACAAAAGATGGAAGCTCTCACAAGAAATGATAACCTCTCTATCAAAATGATTGCAATTTGTTCTGTATTTTCAGGTAAGTGTATGAACCACAGAAACGAAGAAATAGATAACATTTTTTTTAGAAATGTTTATCACTTGGGATGAAATACTATGCGGAGCTGGGGCAGAATATATGGATACACTTATATTTACTATTCTGTATCCTCCTAGAATTACGCACACTGTAAAATCTGCACATCTGATTTAACAAGAGCAGACAAGTAATATTGAGGTATTCTTTACAGTCTGTAATATGTGAGACATGTAAAGAAATGGATAGCTAAATAGAAGTATCTATAGGTTCMTTTCTGATTTACTATTTTAATTGTTTATTTTTTACTGTTCTTGTAGCAGGCAAGTTCYCAAAAATTTGGCAGTTCAATATATCTTATGCATCTCCAACTTTCATTTTCACCTGTTCACTTTTTTATTAAAAATCCACAAAAAAACCCCATACAACAGGAAAAAAATTCAAAGTCTAATCCAGTTAAGATTTTTTAAGAAAAAAGCCACTGAGGCAGAGTTCCAGCTGCAGCCCATGGAAACTGTCTTTAGATATGGATGGTTATTCCATTCCTTCAAACAAAGAAATAAGTTGTCACTCTAACCAGGCATGTTTTCTGCAGTTGTCTTACCTTCTTTGAGCTATTTCCAAACTCTTATTCCTCTTTTTTTTTTTTTTTTTTTTTTTAATATGTGTTTCTCTATTGATGTTTCCTTCCATGATACCAAAGCCAGAACTTAAATAAAAAGCTCAAAGGGAGTGCAACAGAAATATGAGAAGCGTATTGAAGAAAGACTGTGACCAGTCATAAATCAAACCATATCTATTGAAAAGTTTGTCAACTCTCAAGCAACMTTAGGAAAAATAAAACTTGTAAATTAAATAAATACAGTTTATTTTATTAAAGGTCATACTTATTTAGTATAGATGTGATAATGATCACAAAAACAATAAAGACACTGCAGCTAACTTGAGGAGTACAGTAGGCTTCCAGAAACAGAACAAATGCTGTACAGGTAAACAGGAAGCAAAAAAGGCTTKCAAACTACCACTGTATATTGCACTTCTTAATTACACCAATCTTGCAGAAAAATTTTGCAGAGTAGTGCTAAACTTTGGCCTGTCATTTATTCAAAGAACCTCGGACGCACCTGTGCATGAAGCAGGAAGTGATACCCGCCATCCAATTTACATTTCCCTTCCTTTGGGATGAGGATGAAGTTAGCGAACCTTCAGTGTTGTACATATTAGATGGCATTGTGTAAAGACACTTTGTGGTTCTTCTAAGGGCCAGGATATGTTTCTAGGTGTGTGTTTCTTCTATATTTGACCAATAAAGATAAAAACCACCACAATTCCAACAGTAATTGAAACTCTTAGGCATACTCAGTTGAATACCTAGTTGGACATGTAGTTTAATGTGTTCAATATATTGGTAACCTGGAAATTTAGAGTTAAGTAAAAAAAAAAAAAAATCTGTTTCACAGAGAAAATTTCCCTTTATTTTGGGAAAAAACCATCCAGTTCCCTCTCAGACTAGGTTATGATGGACCAGGGAAACTCCAGAGTTTTTCTGATATTCCTGGAACTGAATTAGTCATTGACAAAATATAATGAGCTAATTCTTTGTAGAAAGGCCACAACTGTCTTATTTGTTATGTTGCAACCTTTGATCACAATTAAAACTTGTGAATAAAATGTTAACATATTTATTTGCTCTCCAGTAGTTTAGTGTTTCAATGTGACAGAAGAACTCACAGTTAACAAAATACATGAAATGTGCAGAGACTTCTACAACAACCTTTTACAGATAAACTTTGATAATCCTCATAAGATTCCGCTGAAACAGAATAAGCACAGTCCTAATTTGTAGTTTATTTCCTGATAAAACTTTTAATATACTCATGAGTAAGGTTTCCAATTTCCTTTAAGTTAGTATAACCAAAATGTTTCCAGATTAATTTGTACTTCATATCAGCCAGATTCTTTTCATTGCTCAGATGCAACAGATTACTTCCACCAAATTATTTTGCAGTTCTCAAAATCTTACTAGTAAATTTAGGCCCCAAAAAAAAATCTAAATTTTAAACTAAGTAAGAGACAATACAACTTACATATTGGATACACTCTGCAGATAGATCTGTTCCTTGTATTTACTGTAACCTATTAACAATAATTTACTTTACCAGGAAGCATAATGAGGATTAGTGATACACATATCTTGGTCTCCTATTAGCTACTGAAATTTCAGGAGAAAATCTGAAAGAAATGGCTTCCTGATGGAAACAGACGATTTCACATTTAGATTGCAAGAGGTAATAATCTACAGCAAATGAAACATGCATGTAAAATGGTATTTTCTGGATGCAAATAATTGCAAYATCACAAGCGCTAAAGGTTCCATTAGGTTAGATATCACCAAAACTAGGAAAAAATATTATTTACCTTGTTTGACATTGAACTTTTCTCTTCAAATTCAACCAGAATATGTAATTTTTTAATTATGCAACATGGCATACCAGTTAATTGAACRCGTAATGATAAACTATCATTTTGTTTGATGGCTGATGTGATGCTGAAACATGCTGGACCATTTATGTACATTTTCAAACCAAAGGCTGCTAATCTCTCCACAATTCTGTGACCTCTGCTTTCACATTCTGCCTTGAAGTAGATGCATAAATGAGTAAGTTGTGTTCCAATAAGATAGATTTACAAACTGAACCTGTTAGAAATGCTTTACTTTATTTGTTTCCTTGTTTAGTAACAAAAATTACTTATTAATTGGAAGAGAGATAGAGCTGTTAGTTAAAAACTCTTCTGTGGAAATTGTTCTTTGGGCAGATCTGAAGAAGGGGATTTTTGATGCAGTGGTTCATTAYTCTTTCTATAGAACAGTTAAAGTGTTGTCTATTAGTTCTGTTGGATTCCTGGTTCATTGACCTGATACACAGAGTCATTCAGATCCCATTGTCTCTGTCCTGCAGTCACAAAACAACATTAAGGACTTTTTTCTGATGTCAGTAAAACAAAGTTGTGTGCCCTGACAGAGGTTCTTCAGCATAATCACACACAAATTATCAGTAATAGCAATTAAATGGTCTGCTTCTCCATGAGCAGAACTAAATCCTAAATTTATAGAATAAAGACTTTTTTATAATTTTACATGGAGAAAATAACTGCACCWACATGAAAGTTTAGTTTTTTAACCTCAGCTACCGAATGACTGTGAAATCTGAGCAGACCATTCTGTTTGCATAAACTGCACTTAACCACCCTATTGAAGTGAAACCTGTAGACCAGTGCDGTTCTGTAACTTGTACCGTGTGCTCATTTACCTGATTAGTTGCATTAATGCCAGTGGGACTTATAGCCTTAATATACTTTATGTTTCAGACAGAATTACACAGAAAATGCACAAACTAATTTGTATTCCATTTTTAACCTACAGTTCAACCAAAGAAAGTGTATATTGGTCCTGGCAAACCTGTCTAGAATAACGTTTTCTTCAGACTACTGTGAAACTGGAAGATATTTATATATCATATACTAACCTTTATGCATATAAAATATATGTTTATGTGTATATGAAATGTGCTTTAAAGGCAATTTCCATGTACTGCCCTTTCAAATGCACARGCCTGTGCTTAAGTTATTAAGAACAGATATTTCAAAGTATTTGAAACTTTTTTTGTTCTGTATTGAAAATTAAACTTTTCAAAGGCTTCTTGGAAAGAAACTCTGTCAAAATATTATTTTTCAGATAAAACAGATTTTCTTTCTCTTTTGGGAAATCCATCCCAGACATGAATGTCTTCCTTGTTAAAAACTGATCTTATCAATCTATTTTCACAAGAAAACTTCAATTTTATTAAGTAAGAAGATTCCACTGCATTACCTGCATTGTCCATATGCTTAYAAGTAAGCATATGTGTGTAGGTTTGGCTTTGATGTGCTTGTGGCATAGTCAAAAAAGGAAACCTCACACAAAATATCACACGTGCCAAACACAAAATACTATACTATACCAAAGCAATCATCAGATAATACCTCAGACATGGAATTTCTGRGAAACATTTAAGAATGTTTTATCAAATGCTTTGAAAATGGAAACTCAATGTCATATAGTTGCCAGCTACGCTGGAGTTTAAATATTGGCATTGTAATAGAAAGAGATTCAGTTTCAGATACTTCAACTTTCATTCATGTGGTTTAGGACCCACCACAGCTCCCTTAAGAAATGTTATAAAAATACATCCGATGTGAGGATAAAAGCACAAGGAGCCATCCAGGCTAAGTCAGGAGACATAACATTTAATAATCAGCCGCATGTGAAGACCCATTGAGTTGATGAATGGTAAGTACTGTAGTGAGTGAAAAAGTCTTACAGAACATCACAGGCATAGTAACAAAGAGGACAGTCCCTATCTGCATTTTTTAAATTCTTTGGAGGGGTTCATTAACACAATAGATAGATATGTGATCTTCTCTTTGCATAATTGTTTCTAAACTCACACAATCATGGGAATTAGAAGATGCCAAGACTGTAGATTGGCATTTATTTCTTTGATTTGTAAGTGTTTATAAGGCAATAGTACATATATTCACTAGGCTACTGCTTTCCAAATTCTCCATCGATTTCTCTTCTGTTATTTCAAAGTCACCTTTATTGAGATATGCATCTGCTACATTCCCCTGTCAGAGACAGGATACGAGGCTGAATAGACTTYCAGCTTAATCCAGTCTAGCTGTCATAAAGTCTTACAAACTGTAAGTTCCAGAAATGAAAAGGATCAAAATTATTAATGGAGACTCAAAAATATAATACAATCATACAAAATAATTACTATCAGGACTCCTTTACTTTACAAACATATAAAATGCACTTACTTTGAGGGTGAAAAGAGGGRAAAAAATCCTTCCATTAGAAAATAGAATCACAAAGCTTTGAACAAATAAATTCACACACTGCAGGGTACACACACACACGCATGCAGGCAGGCATGCACGTATGTACACACACAGGTGCACACATACACGCATACATACACACATGCTTAGAGTTTACACTGCATTCTTCTGATGCCATGATTATTATTTTATTTGTACACCCACCTTTACTGCACATTCTAAACAAACAATAGACAACAGTGTAAGGACTTTTTTTTTTCCTTAAAACTGCAACGAAACAAGTCTCAACATTTGCAAAACATTCCTTTATTATTAGAAATAAATTATTTTGTATAAAAATTAGCATGCGTTGACCATTGCATTTATTTTAGCATAACCCAGGACTTAATTCAGTCAGCCGTCACAAGAAACAAACTCATCTTCTTTTACGAGTTGAACAATGTAGGACAGGAAAGGAAATTGTCACAATCACAAAAAAGTACTTACAAATATAACATTAGACATGATTTATTTCAACAGCATTTTTTTTTCACAAGCTAACATTTGTTTTCCTTTTGTGATTTGCTTCCTTTTGTGAGTGAACAGTTCAGAAGCTTGACACTCTGTCTCTATGTTCTAAAACTGGACTTTTCCTTCCCCTGTCTCTTTTTGCCTTTTGCTCTTGTTTAATCCTTGTTCTTTAGGAGACTGACTATCGATTTGAATGTAGTCTATTGATATTTTCAAGACTGAATTCTGGTGGTGGTAAAGTCTATGTTTGCAAGATCCAGTCCTGCAGATCTTCCAGTGAATTTCATCCCTGCTCAGTTTGCCTGATTGCTGTAACTGACATAAGTTGTCTTGGTAGAGGAGGCTGTAAATCAAAAACACCAAAAACAAACAACAACAAAAAAAACAAAGTTCAGGATTTTTAGAATCAAGAAAGGAGGGAAAAACATATTTAGCATTTGAACTCAGACAGTGTCCTACTATATTTCCAAACAATATGGTCCATGTTCATGGAATAAAGAATGTTCAAGGATGTATATAAGCAGTGAGTAAACTGTATCTCAAGATCTGTGATCATGACCACTAATTTTTTTTCATGACTTGGGAAAGTTGAGGTCAATAGAAAGGAACAATGATGGGTGGTCTCAGCATACCCACAACAGAATTTCAACATCCTGTATTATTTTGTCTGAATTCCACATAGACATTTTTTACTTTGGAGATTGGATATTTCTTTTTTTTTTTTTTTTGTAGTGGCTGAAGACAACTTTGCAGCTAGTGGTGGTTTGTCCATCTAGAAGGAGATTTATATTCCTTGAAAGGAACCAAGCCTAACATAGGAAACATTTCCCCCAATTAGAGAAACTGAGCAGAGAGTCCCTACAGAACATATTCTCTGGAGAAAAGSATGGTTTCCTTATGTTATTGGTCAGCTGATCATGTCCCATTTGAGCAAAGCTGATACTCCTTGTTCAAAATGAGGCAATTTGTTCAGAGAATTAAATAGTTCTACAACTGCAAAAGTGAACAATTATGAATCTTTTATGAAAGTTTGTTTCAGGTTCTAGCCCTTACATCTTTGCTATTAAAAAATATAAAAAATATGCTATAAAAATATGACCCACGTCATATCACTCAAGGTTAATGTAATGGTTGGAGGAGGGAAGTGGTGACATGAAGTTTCATAGTTGGTTCTCTAATTTTAAATCTGGAAAGTCAGACTGCTGGGGGACTGAGTCTTTTCTTCTCTATAATAAGGTCTGTGTTACACTGCATAAGGAGGAATTTGACTTTCTAAATATGTTTTATGTTCTGTCTGCCACAGATTTGTTCTGCTTATGATAGTGAAGACTGCAGGTGGCAAGATGAAAATAACAGGATGGCAAAAATGTTGTCTGGTCTATAGATTCAAAGATTTTATTTCCACACCTTTCTTCAATTTCTTTTTTATTTTTCTATATAGAGTATGGTGAGAAGAGCTGAGATAGATAAATAGAATCTAACTCCTAGATTCAGCCTAACAATCTGATGATTTGGGAAGAACAGACTACAGAAACTGAGAAATGACAGTTTCTCTCTTCTGCATCAAATATTAAACTAACTAAAGGATCACTAAAATTGATGCAAATGAATAGTGGTTAGTATAAATAAGTTTACTTCATGATTTTTGATGTTTTCTTAGATTTTCTGAGCAATTTGAATCTAATATTGCAGTTACCATTTTTTGGAGACAAAACAGAACCAGACCATTTAAATTCACATAGTACTGTATTTTTTTCCCCTAAGAATTTATATATTAGCATAAATAATGAAAAGAAAGCTGCAAAATGTARTATTTCTTACTTTCACTTGCACAGGTAGCTCTAATACTTTGTGTTTGGAAAAAGCTAATAATTCATGAAAGGACTGCTTTTGGCACACAAAGCAAGTCTTTCTCACAGTTGATCACAATATTTGAGCACCAACATGAAATAGCTTTATTTGCATGTATTGGGACGCTTGAAGCAAATATAGCCTCATTTACATCTTTCAGATCTTTCAGATGGGATGTACTGCTCCCGTCTGAACTCTCTCATGCTCCCACAGCTGGATTTCTGAGAGGATTCTATTTTTTCTTTTGGCCTGCTAAGTTCCTACTCCAAATAATGCAGGACTGATGAAATGGCACCAAGTTCTTCAAGCATAGGATTTTTTCCCAGCTAAGAAATAAGAGATAAATGCACATCTGCAAACTCTGCACACTTGGGAACAAAAGGACAGAAGTATCAGAGCTTATTTTTTTCCCCTTTCCCTGAAAATAGGGTGAGATACACGATCAGGTTATGTTAGTTTACCATATTATCCTGTATTATCTAAGTTCTGTGATAACTTTACATGTGCATGTTTATAGCCCACAGCAACGTAACATAATCAGATTTATCACAACTCAATAAGCTGAATTACGTGAGGACATTTGCAAGAAGCTCGAAATACAAAAATAGTAGCTACTACACCTCAGCTGATATTGAGTAATTCATTAAATTGTTGTAACTCTGTTGTGTGTCTGAGCATTATATAGTTTTCATAGAATTAATCTAGAGTTGATCAAGAAACAAAAAATATCCAGTTGTATTCCGAGTGTTGTTACTTCAAAAAATGTTAGCACAGGAATTTAATGTAGATAGTACTTTGAAATATATTAAAACTAATCTCATCTCAAAACAATCTTTGTGTTTTTTTACTCAAAAAATATTGCACATGCCTTTATAGTTCTGTGGAATAAGCCTAGAGTTCATATTTGGGGATCTGAAAGCTTCAGCAGCTGGTGTTCTGCACTTTAAGATTGTTAGCATTTCACAATAATAACATGAACCACATTTGGCAAGCTTAGATGGTCAGAAAAAGTAATGGACTTGGCTCAAAATATTTCTGGGAATGAAGATTGTTTCACAGCTTCAGTTACTACTTTGCTGCTGGAATGAGACAAACGAAAAAGAAGAAAATAGGTTCTGAAACAATTTAAAATTATTATTATTATCTGACCTATATTCATTTAATGTACTTGTCACTGCCTTCTGTAACTGTACCTGAATGTTTTTTTCATTCTGTTTCCCAGAAAAAAATCTGCTTTCCACTAAATATGGACCAACTTCCGCAAATACGCCCATGAATGTATTCACGTGGAAGACAACATAGATTGATGTGTGCTAAGTAGAAGTGGTCTCTGGATGGGAAGCAAAAGGGATTACGTGGCTATCTCATCCTATTTCTCATCTAGCTATGAATGTTTTTATCATTACTAGTATTTGTGCTAGGTAAATGGTAGGAAGAACTCACTACTCTCTAGGAGTAGACTGATATTTTGCAGTAAATTTCATATACTATCATTGAAAAGAAAGATCTACCTCACATGGAGTCAGTGCAAGAAGAAATTTTTTTGTGTCRAGGATTTGTTACTACTGATCGACTGAAAGGACTTATGCCACATTGTGTACTTATAATTCACAGGACCCTTCAAAAGTTTTGATAATAATTATTTCAGGGATGAGAAAAACCCATCTTGAGGCCTAGAACTCAATCACATAGGGACAGCTTTCTGGAGTGCAAAGGACTTGACTCAATATTTGCCCATGAAGCATTATGATGTCTGGATGAAAGTCTGGTCAGAATATACTCCTAGTGAGCTCAGAATTATATAGATGTGTTACTGTTAAAATCATGTTTAGAGCACAGTAAATAAGCATTACCCTGCATACACTCTCTACTGGAGGAGCAGACTTGCTTCCACTAGCAGATGTTTCTATGAATTATGCATAATCATAGTTTAAGGAATACCAGACACAGCATTTTTTAATTAGGTACAGTAGATAAACATCAGATACCCAAGACTTTCTTATTAACACTCTTTCTCACCCTACTGTGAAAACTCTACTTTATCCTTCCTTAGAAGTTTATAATTTTGTACAGTCAGCCAAATCCATCTCTCCTTTTCTTCTTTCGTTTGGTGACTTCTGAAGACTTGCAAAATTATTGAGTCTTTTGTATTCCTATGCTATTATTTGATCCACAAGGAATTTCTATTCCTTTCTTGTTTGTTCTTTGTTATGTCACAATCTGAAGCTGTAGAAATGCATAGCTCACTCCAGCAGTTTTACACATTTTGAAGGGTCATGAGTTTTCTCAGTGAAACAGTTCGTACTCAGTATCCTCCACGCAGCAGCGACTATAGCATGGGAAACTTATGGACTATTTCTATGTAGTCTTCACTCCGGCAAACTTTGATAGGGTTCAGTGGGGGTTTGCATTTTTCAGAAATAAGTACAATATTTTAATGCAAACTTGGTACTGTCTTGTCTCAATGTGCTTAACCAAAATAGTACTATTTATCCATCTGTCAGTATCATCAAAAGTAATAAAATTTAAAAATAAACCATGGTATTTTCTGAAAAACATAGCTGTCACTGCTGCTGCCCATCTAACGTGACATCTAACTTCTCTTTCTAACAGAAAACATTTCTCCATTGCTAAGCACTGGGGGTAAGGTTAATGTCTCTGCTCATATTTGATTATTACTGTTATTATAAAGTCCAGTTTATAAGATGATATGGCATGTGGTGGAATGGAAGCTATTACCTCTGTTTTCTTCTATACCAGAGCAACTTAGAGATGTAGCAAGATTCAAGAACTTTCCTGACATGGGAAAGAATTTTTTTCCCATTACAAACCTATATATATCAGAACATGTAATGATTAAGCTTCATAGGAATTATCAGTTTTGTACCAAGATGAGTAAGACCACAACAAAAACCTGGATGGGAAGCATTATTCTGAGAAGTGCTGGTCATGAGTAGCGATAAATGAACAATTCAACAAATAGTAAGTTAAGGTGGAAAGGTAAAAAGCATTATTTTCACTTCCATATCTGACTTCAAAATAAAAACCATGTTAGCTGTTTTCATTATATTTCTTTTTGCAGCAGCTTTTGAGTTTTGAATATACAATGATGACCATAAATACACCTCATGAACTGTCAGGACATACCACAACTGGCACAGCAATGTACAACACATCAAAATAGCACTAGCTAAAACAAATAATTTTTAAAAGATGTGGCTTTTCAAAATCTGCTTGTGCTTTGTTTTTTTCCACTAGCCTCCTGTGAAAATCAATTTATTTGAAACAACTCTAGGCATTCCTGCATTCAGCAGTACATGAATTCTGACACATCTCTGGATTCATGCAGAACAAGCAACAAAAATAATTAAGTTTATTATTAAAAGAAAGTGCATTCTTGTGAACATATATCTACTAAGATGTGCTGCCACTCTTGGCCAAGTCTACAGATGACTTACTGTTGGTTTCAAGACTTTCACACAGTTCAGTCTTGACTTCACCATTTGGTCTGTCGTTTCCTTTTTGTGTCAGTTTGCTTTGCATTGTAGCAGCTGTCACTACAGCCTTGAAGCTCCGCTTCCGTTTTTGAACATTCTGCTCTGGATGAAAAATGATAATATAAACCTTGGGCATGTAGAGCATGCCCAGAGACACAGAAGCACTTAAACTCATGGAGATAGTAAGTGTTGTTGTCTGGATGTACATCTGGGGAAGGAAAGAAACAACAACATAAAAATCATTGTTATATTGATTTAATATAAGAAGGAAAACAAAGTCATTATCTTAAAAGTAGTAGATGGAAAGGGAGCATACATCAAAAGGACCCTTGGCTTTGGTTGCTTTTAATTATAGCCGAGTATGGCAGTTTCATGTTGGGTTTATAACCTTAAAAGTAGGCGGTAGAAACAACATAATGTTCATGAAACTTCATTCTCATAAAAGTAACAGAGATGCTGCAGCAAACACATTTGAAGAAAAACCAGAACAGTATGTCTGGACAAGAAAACAGGAGTGACAATGGAGTTAGCATTGTGTCATCTATTTTAACAGACAGAAACCTCTACACCAATATGCCACATGGTGATTCAACAGAGTTTGCAGCATGGTTCCACTGACAGCAGCATAATGCAGAATCTAATGAAACCTTTTATATACTCTGTGAGTTTCAAGCTTGGGAAAAAAATAAATTTGTTTCTTCATAGTGATGCTTGAATATTCCAGAGTGTGTTGGGGGGATTGTTTGTTTGTTTGTTTGTTTGTTTTCCATCCTACTTTTGAATTCCAATCACAATGTTCCACAAAATAAACTGATTAATGTCATAGTCCTAAGAAATCAGAAAATGGAGGAAATTACAACACAGAAGACCTCACTCCCTTATAGATACAAGGGAAAAAATCGGCATTTCAGAGAAAGTCTGTCTATTTTTGGTTATCAACTACAAAAACAAGGTAATTCTGGTCTTCTATTATACCATAAAAGAAAATGACAATGACACTCCATAAGAAAAGCAGACAGAAGTTTCTGTCTGAAGAAGTATTCTGCTAGAATATTAGAAATACTAATTGCAGTTCTGCTTAACATTTTTTTTTCTTAGGAAATTATGTTTTATTGGCCATATTATGAACAAAATACTACCTAACATTTCTGTGTTAAGTAGGAAATCTCTCCATAATCCTTGTTATGCTGCAAAAGATACTGAAGTAAAACATGCTCAGTGCCTTGGCAGATGATTCAGTGACATTGTTGTCAGGCATGATTTTAAGCACTGGGCAATACTATCACATTAACCTGCAGATAAGGTGGTAAGTCTGTCTGCAATGTCAGCTTCAGATCATCATTTTTTACGAAGTGCCCTTGGGTGACTTGGCCCTTGGCAGAAAAGTAGAGATATAATAAACTGTTGTGCACTGTTATAGTCAAACATTTTTCATGTCTTTCAGCCTACAAAGTTTTTCCATTAGATACTTTCTCCTTAGAGATCACAAATAAACTGTGCTCTCTCACCTAAAGTGATCTTAGGTAAGCAAAAAACATGGATTCTGAACCACCTTATAAAGTAAATGTATRACTGTGCAGAAATGCAAGTACTGTGCCAAATACTACCCTAAAAGGAAGGATAGCCCCATCTAGTCTTCAAGAAAAGACTAACAGTGCTTCAAAATCTGTGTATTGCTGAAATCGCTTTCAGGGACAGCACCAGCCTGAAAAGACAATCAGGGCTGTCTTTCTGTTGTGCTGAGGAAAGTTATAGAAACAACACCTTCCTTCATTTCAATCATACATCAATTCAATGCTTGAGGAAATAATACACTCTTTTCTCACACAAGCAAAATAATTCCATTCCTTTCAATCTTCAAAATGACAGTGGTGTGCCTAAAAGCAGAGCTTGAGCTATATTGTGCATGAACATTTCTAACGAAAACATTACATGRTCACATTAATATACAGGTTTTTTCAGACTTTTGTGGAAGGACCTCTGTGCAGATGCATGTTCACATGCAGACAGCACCAACAACATGTCTGTTTCTCCCTCAACCAAACAGACTGATCTCCAAACAAACTGGTACAACTTTTAGGGTTAAGCATTGCATAAATGGTGTCCCAAAGGAAAAGTACTTTGGTTTCTAAAGTTGAATATGTTTCCTAATGGGATTTTCAAAACTGAAATAATTGAAAGTAATACATTTTTAAAACTATAGTGTATGAAAATTACATTAAACATAAAAAAAAAGTATTTTTGAAGCCTTACCATTTTTTAAAATCCAAGTCATGGCAGTTAAGTGCCTAGCTAAGCCTCACCCATGCATTCTGTAACAATGCCTGGCATTTAAATATGTTTCAGGTTATATTTTTTACCAAGTACCCAAATTCTAAGGCTTGTCTTTCTCTCATGGTTCAGTATGAGTGACATGATAAAAAGTATAAAGCTCTGAAAGTTATAGCATAAAATACACACATCCCTTTAATAGTAATTTTAACAAATTTGTACATCACAGTAGACCTCAATGATCTTTTTTGCAGTAAGAGGAGCCACAGTGACAAGATCTTAGGAATACTAGAGGTTTCTGTTAGTATGGCAGTGTCTGCTTGAAGGTTTACATTCAACCAAGTTTCCTAAGTGAAACCCTAAATCTCATACATACACTGAAATTGTAAGAGCCCATGGATTCCAGCGCAGGTATTTTYAAAGAGATAGGGCAATACATCTATTTTATTTTCTGCGGATTTAACTGACAACCACCATAACAGCCTATTTTAAAACATCCAAATTATTTATTTCTAATGATTGCTGTGGTTTTGAACAGCCACTATAATTATTGAAACATTAACACTAGGGTGAGCGGGGAGTTTTCTGACAGTTTTCAAATAGTGAATAAAAGTCTTTAAAGGGACTCAGACTCAGGGATCCTGTTTTGCATGGATCACCCCTAGTACTTACTCTTTAATGAAGCCAATGTGAAAGAATAACTTCAAGACACTTGCTAGTCCTTGAGAATAAGGCTTTGAACACATTCTTGCATGCAGACATTGTGTGTGTGCATAYATCAGCCTGACTTCACAGGCTAAAGCAAACTCAGCTGGAGGTTAGCTGTCCATGATGGTCTGAGTCTGATTCCTTTTCCTGCAGTAWTCATAGAATAGTTTGGGTTGGAACTGACTTTTAAAGGTCCTCTAGTTTAGCCCCCTGCAGTGAGCAGGGACATCTTCAACTAGATGAGGTTGCTCAGAGTACCAGACAACCTGACCTTGAATGTTTTCAGGAATGGGGCATTCACGATCTCTCTGGCTACACTGTTCTAGTGCTTCATCATAAAAAAATCCTTCATATTAGTCTGAATGAACCCTCTTTAATTTAAAATKATTACCCTTTGCTCCTATTGCAACAAGCCCTACATTACTTTTTTAAGTGGTCATTTGCAGGCTGAGAGCCTTTTTATAGGACAGGAACATCTCTTGCATTTAATCCTTCCTGTCTTTGGAATGCCCATTCTTGCAGCCCAAGGAAGCACCAGTGTAGCAAACAGGATACCACACATTTGGTTTGACTTTTGTCTGACTCCTACCTTGTTTTATTCCTGACAAGAGGACAATGATRTTTTATGGCTGTGCATTCTGGGTACTTTTATTATTCTGGGAACATAACTACCTGTAACTTTTACAGAATTAGCTCCTCTAAAAACCAAGGAGCAACAAAAGTAGTTCAGTTTAATAAGATATGAAGTCTGAATAATTTTTCATGTGTCTCACAGTGGTAGCTCACTCGAAGTTACAGGAGAATAAAGGTCCCTTTTTCACAATGATTCACAGCTACACAGAAATGAATTTTGGTACTCATCACACTAAAACCCCTTCTGAACTACAAACTTTTTGCCCAATAATGCCTTTCATAAAAGTAACAAAGACTGCTATATCTATTCTCCTTGTTCTTGACAGTCAGAGGATATATCAGAAAAATAAAATCACTGTAGTGCAAGAAAAAAGACTTTTAAACTATGGTGAAACCTTGAGGCCTAAATACCTTCCTGTYTCCATCCCCCATCCCAACCCCATCCCAGAACTGATACAAGACTTATGTACAATTTTAACCTCCACAATTGACAAAGGATTCCTCACAATAGTCTCTCATGTAGAAGATTTAGATCCCCACTCAGACTCATGATCTCTTTATCCCACAAGTGACCAGAATCCTTTCCTCATCATAAGGATCCTGCAGGCTATCCATACATAGCCTTCAGATTATCCTAATTTAGCACCTAAAATAGACAATGGCCTTTGATTCTAGGACTATGTGTCTCATTCTTTTTGCTTTGAAACTTAAAATGTTACATGGGACAATGAAAGATGCTATTTTAGTAAATACAGATACTTGGATGAGTTCTCCAGTTTGAAAGTACTTGAAACTGAATTGCCTCCTTGGTAACCTGAAAAGTTTCTGTGCATCAAAGCAGGAGTGTGCACTAAATTGTCCCAGTGTAGGTAGCTGAATGACTGCCTCTCAGGCTTCACTGCTTGAAAATAAAATATCCCCCAAGTCCCCAGTAGTGTCCCATCAATTTGGTGCTTGCTGAGGCAAAGTTCAACACAAAGAAACTATTTTCACTAGAGGAAAAGAAAATAGTGGTAATGTCACAACCTCTCCCAGATCGCTTCCTTGTTTTGAGTCCTCACATATTGTGGCACATAAGATAATATTCAGGCTCTCTCCAGAATTATTGATTTTCTCATGTTATTTATTTTTCTTTTCTACTTGGTTTTAATAAGTCAGACAGTGAGTACATCTCACCCAGTCTGTTTCCTAATCTGGTTTTAATAGTATGTCCTGGAAAGATGGGACATATGACTACTRTGATGTCTTGAGTAAATTGAATCTGTTTTCCACTTTGGCACAAGCTCTCTAACTCCTGGTGGTTGGAACACAGATGAAAAAGTCCAGCAGAGAGTGAAATGCTGAACCATAAAGAGAAGTCTTGGTACACCTCAGACCATGAGTGTGTCTAGCATAGCCTCAACTCAGCTACTCGCAGTCTGAAGAGAAGTGGAAGTTTGAAAAGACACAGCTGGTCTAATAGCACTCATTGGCTAATTCTATACAATTTGCCCTTTAGAAACATCTTTCTCCACAGGAGAGAGCAATAGCCTTGGTATCAAATGCTGGAGTTTGAACCATCCTGCTGAGACAGATAAACACAGACAGTCACTCTTG